GGCAATGAGGACTTAAGATATTTTAAACCTACTTCAAGACATTACCCCTTAACTTTCAACACTTAACCAAAAACAATCCCAACTTTATAACCAATAAAACCTGGTTATCACATTATCCTCCCATCAAAAGAATTTCGTCCAAGAATTCAATCAATCAAACAGTTGTGGGTATTTGGTTCTCATTTCGGATTCCAGTTTCTAGGTAGCCTCTTGCCCCTTATGAAATCGCCCATGCACTTTCACCAGACTATTTTTTTATTTCTCAACACTTTAGTCTTCTGGTCAGTGACCACCTCTGGGCTTTCCACAAAGCTTAACTTTTCATCAATCTGATTCTCCGGTAATGGTACAGCCATATTTGGATTAGCCAAACATTTTCACAAATTTGAAAAGTGGAAAGTGTTATATATAGCGTTGAGTTCTTCTAGAATTCTAGAAATTCTAACTGATACGCTACTTCACCAATCCGTTTACTAATTCCTCACGACCCAATGTACCACAGACTCAGTTTACCTCTCTTTCCAAATCGCACAATACCCTTCCATGGCGAAACTTTCAGCATTACAAAATCTTCCACTAGAAATTCAATCGGCTTTCGGCGCTTGTTGGCATAACTCTTTGTCAGTCCTAAGCTGTATTTATTCTTTCCCGAATTCGATCTATCTTTTCATTTGTTAGCTGAACAATCTCTGAACCGGCCAATTGTTTGTCCCCTATCTCATTCCATCATAACAACGTTCTACATTTTCTGCCATACAAAACTTCATACAGTGTCGCTTGGATGCTGGAATGATAAATATTGTTGTAGGCAAATTCAATCAACGGTAAGTGATTATCCCATGAATCCCCGAAATTGATACAAGCTCTTAACATATCTTCAAGGGTTTGTATCATTCTTTCACTTTGCCTGCCAGTCTGTGGGTGATACGCCATACTTAATCGAATTTGGGATCCCATGGCTTTCTGAAAGCTTTCTCAGAATTTTGAGGTAAACCGACTGTCCCTATTTGAAATGATTGATAAAGGAATACCATGAAGAGTCACAATCTCATCGATATAGATCTTTGCAAATCTTTTTAACGGAGAAGTTTCTTTGATCGGTAGAAAGTGTGAATATTTTGTCAGACGATCCACAATAACCCAAATAACAGCATATCCTTTTGGAGTTCACGACAATTTCATTATGAAATCTATCGTGATATGATTCTATTTCCACATAAGAATTTCTAATGATTGCAAATTCCCATAGAGTCGTTGATGTTCTATTTTTACCTGTAGACACGTCAGACACCGTTTCACGTACCGTGCAGTATTCTTCTTCAACCCCGACCACCAGTAGAGTGGTTTCAAATCTCTGTACATCGTGTTGGTACCCGGGTGAATTAAATATTGAGACTTGTGACTTTCATCTAGAATTAACTCATGGTTAACTCCAACACATGAAGGATGTCCTGCGGTTGTAGTACCACCCGATTGTGTAATCTTTATCTAGAATTGATTTAGATTAGTAGATTGTTAGCTATCGTCTATCATTGATGTAAACTCTCTTACTATTTCCCTTTTGTTGGGTAATCATATTTGATCCAACTCTTAGTTCGTCTTATTTCCACGGTTTAAATATCTCGAATTTTAGGGGTGTCTACATATTATTTATTTCCTTCCATTTCCTCCCACATTTAGAAGAAAAGTCTTGAAATGGAACTTATAATTTACTATCCTCTTTTCGACTCATTTCCTTTCTCTCCTGAAAGATTTCGAGAATAAACTTATTTTTATTTTCCTCCCATTCCCCTTATTTTCCTTTCCTTCATAAAAAGGCTTTGTGGCATAATAGTGATGCAAGTATACACTAACTATTGTGTTCGCCTTCAAGTAATATAATGGTGTAGTGTCAAGATCATATCCACAGAGACTGGTCTTACTAAGCATATGAAATTTCCACAAACTTCTGGTGAAAAGTTAGGTTTTATAAAATTGATTGTTTGAGAGTGATTTGGTGATTTCTAACAAGTAACAAAAACCGGGTATGGGTGCAAGCTTTTCCTATGAGTATGATAGTAAAAAAAAATGATTAGACAAAACCGGTCACAAAAGAACCCTTCACAATTTCTTTTTCTCGAAACTATGTTGTGTTGGAATATGGTCTCGGTCTCGTTGCAAAGTGGATACAACTACTAGCTTTCGGTATGCCAACCTTACTAGGTAGATCTCAAAAATCTAGGTTATGCCAACATGGAGAGATGCGCATATCTCTATGATACACCACTCAACCGACATCATGAACCTTAGTAAAAGTTATGAAACAACCCATATCTCTATATAATTATTGAAGATTTTCTCAAACCTCCTTGCATCATTGAAGCCGTATCTCAAATTTCCCATCTCTAGGTTAAAGATATAATATTAACACACACAAATGATTGGTCTGTCCAGGTTGAGTTAAACCTTCAACTTGAATAACCGAACTGGAAAATTAGCAAAAAGTGGAAACACCCAAATGTTACATTTTACCTCTTAGGTTCGGCTTACACTCACACCCAAAGGGGGTTTTAGCTCATGTTTAAAAGAAAAAGACGTAATAGAAGAAAAGAAATACTCAAAGTTAAATTGCATTACAATGAACTTCAACACCGTGGCCACACATGGGATATAAATGTAAATGCTAGAAAATAAATTACATCTAAACTTAAGGAAATACAAGAACAAAGTAAGGCTTCTTCTCAGTTGATGTTCAACGTTCAAGTGTGCTCAAAGAAGAATTCTGAAGCCTCATTACATAGGTGAAGAAGGAAAGAGATTGAGAGAGACAAGAGAGAGGTGAAAGAGACTTGACCAAGTTGTCTCCTTCCTCTTTTTGGTCTTGACTTTTCTTGTCTATTTCTCCTCCTCTTCCATGAAAATCTCATAGTTGACCCTAGTGATGGCCCAGGACCGGTAATGGTTTTTGTCGGATTTGTGGGACCGGGACCGGTTATGGCCCGGCCCGAAATATTCAAAAACAAAATGACATTTTTTTAAAATATAGTTGTTAACTAGTCGTTTTTGACCGTTATTTTTGTATTTTTTGGCCTCTAAACACTATAAATATCTAACGAGGTTGACAGATTTACATACCAAGTTCTAAATTCGTAAAAAAATGCAAAAAATATTCACGATTCTCGTAATAAAACGTATTTTTAAAGTGTATTTGAGTGACCCGTACGACAAATTTAATAATGTATTAAAAATATATATCATTAAAAAAATTAAAAAATATATTTTTAAGGGTGGGACCGGCGGCCCATAACCAGTTATAAAATAGTCTGACCGGTCTTCATCTATTCGACCGGGATCGGCGGCCCATAACCGGTTATAAACTAGTATGACCGGTCTTCATCTATTCGACCGAGACCGGTTATATCCGGTTATGAGAAATCTTGGGACCGATTGGGATCGGCCCAGGACCGATTTTTGGCCATCACTAGTTGACCCTTGTCCATGTCTGCTCCTCATTTCACTAAATTAAAAATAAAATCGCTACAAAATATTTGAGGTGGTTGTTCACCACAATGGTGACAATGTGGCCATAATGGCAGACCAGCTCACAAATTTCGAATTTTTAGCTATTTTTTTAACTTAGGAACAATTTAGACCAATAGAGTACTGAAAGGCTCAAATGGGAATTAAAATAGGTGAAATAGGTTTAAAAAGAGTGACAAATAACTCTAAAATCTAAAGGTTATCTCTGACCAATCTAACTCATGTACACCCCTTATATGTTTTGTGCAAATTTTGGCTTTTCGATACAAAACAGAACTGGATGAGATGGGACTAGATATGATCTGTTGGGCAAGAGTGAGGTAGACGGATGAAATAATTATGTAATGTTTTAAGGTTTTAAGTTGACATGGGTAGTTTAGTTATTTACCAATTTGGTTTTAATTTGACATGAGTAGTTTAATGATTTACTAATTTCATCTTATCTACTTGTTTTCTATTCACCTATTTTGGTGGGGCAAAAAATTGGCATTTTTGTCCCAATCGACAATGCCATGCCCCAATCTAAAAGTCATTTTAAACATGGTAACAAAATTTTGTTTTATTTTGTCACGTGATAACCTACGTATCATACATATCCTAAATAAAATGTTTGTTGAAACGTAAAGTTTGTTGACCGAATTAATTTAATTAATGTCTAACGACAAAATAAATAACATTTATTGCTAAATTTTGCGAGAAAAAATTGTTACATTTATTATGTGGTAAAATCAATGAAATTTGTTTTGGAGAATCTCCGACAGCTATATTATTTTAGAAATTTGGAAAAAGTTGTTTCAACAACTATGCAAAACTCACCTTTAAAATAATGAAAAATAGGAGAAGAATGGAAAAATCTCAATATTTTGAAAGAAGAGAGAAAATATAACATATCTGTTGGAGATGCTCTTGGTTTTCATTTAATGAATATTTTTTCAATCAATATAATAAAGTTCCAACTTTTTTATATTTTATACCCGTTTTGACCATAATTTGTTTATCTCGAAACATTTAATAACGTGAATGACAAGTTTTGAATCAACATATTTTTGAATGGTAACCTGTCGATTAATTATTGTATTTTTAAAATACAAATTGAAAATTTAATATCCATGTTATTAAATATTACAAGATCAACATATTATTTTAAACATACATAAAAGGTAAAAAATTTAAACATTTAATTTTTTTTTCTAAAATAAATGTTTATATTTTTATTTATTTTAAACTAAATCTTTTGTTTTCAAAAAGAAAATATTTTTTTATTATTTTCATTTAAAAAAATTAACATTTATTTAAGGTACAAACATATATAAATCACATTTAGTTGAGAACAACCAACACGTTGACTGCACGTGACCATCTGCCATCCCTTAACCTGTTTGACAGTGGGAAGTGAATGTGAGTTTTAAGTGCTGAAACCCCACCACCATTATCTGTTACCACCACCACCGTCACCACCACCACCAACACCACCACTGTCATCAAGATTCAACAACAACATCATCACCATCACCTTCTCTTCCAATCTAAAAGATACGATTTTGATTTCACTCTTGTACCTTTCTCCGGCTATCCACCACCAACAACCACCGTACCTCCTGGTGGGGCCCGTCTTCCACCACCACATCCGGGCCCCACTTCCGTAGATTACATCTCGTAGCATCAAAACCCCCCCTTCTCACTGGAAGATCCATCAAACCTATCTGTATCTCTTCCCTATTACGCATTAAACTTTCTGTAAAAGTTGTATCCATTTTTGCCTTTGGGATCTCTTCTCTGATCCACATCCAACCCAGAAGGGGTTTCTTTTTCACTATTAAGAAAGCAATAAAATACAATAAAATAAAATCCCACAAAATTGATTATAATAATTATCTGGGGTTTTATTCTATATTATATTTTTCGTTGTTTACATTTTCGTTTTTCGGTCTTTTCTTAATGTGGGTTTTAGGGATTCCTGTGATGGGTATTTGAAGACAAGTGAGTGAAGAGAGGGAAAAGAAAGAAGACGACAAAAAGCTCTCTACTTTCTTTGTTTACATTTCGTTTTCGACCTTTTCTGAATGTGGGTTTTAGGGATTCCTGTGATGGGTATTTGAAGATGGTGAGTAAAAAGAGGGAAAAAGAGAGAGAAAAATAGAGAAGACGACAAAAAGCTCTCAACTTTCTTGCTGGGTTTCTTCAAGGGATTTGACTGTTTGAAGTGGGTTATCTCTCAGATTTCAGTCAAGATTTCATTCAGGATTTCAAGTGCCGTTTATGTTTGTATGAGTGTGTGAATTAGTGTGTGCTCTGTTGATTCAATGGATACAAAAGGACGACTAATTGCGGGTTCACACAACAGAAATGAGTTTGTTCTTATCAATGCAGATGAAGTTGGAAGAGTAAGCTGACTGTTAAAATGCTGCAAATCTTTCATCTTTTCTTTTGCAAATTAGACTGAATCAGTCCTCATTTTGAGTGCTTAATCTGTGTTCTTCTTGTCAATATTTTGGTTTGAAGCTGAAAAGTTTCATCTGTTCATCACTCTGTTGGTGGTGTAATGATGTTTACAACATTTGAATGCATCTTGAATCTTGGTGTTAGATCACTCAGATCATCTTGCATTTCAACCACAATCACTTTAATTCACACATATTCACCACTCTTCATATCCAGCAACCATTTTATGCATTCCTGTGAATATAGTGCTTTTTTTCCATATCAGGTACCTTCATAAACATCCCCATTGCTATAAAGCTCCGAACTTTCTTTATTTTCTTGCTTTTTTTTGTTCAGCTAGACTTGATGGTGAATTCCCATTTGGGCAATGGTGTCTCATTTGAAATCTTATGTGGGTATTTGGTTTCTTGTTCCAAAACTAATTTTTATCTTTAACAGGTGACTTCTGTAAAAGAATTGAGTGGGCAGATTTGCCAAATTTGTGAAGATGAAATTGAAATAACTGTGGATGGGGAGCCATTTGTTGCTTGCAATGAATGTGCGTTCCCTGTTTGCAGAACCTGTTATGAATATGAAAGAAGAGAAGGAAATCAAGCTTGCCCTCAGTGCAAAACCAGATACAAACGAATTAAAGGTATCGATAATGCTCTCTTTATGGTCAATTCTTGCTAGTTTTTAGGGGCTGTTTGGTTGGTTTTTCATTAAGTTCTCCATGGATAGAACTTTCTGTAGATTAATCTGTTTGTATAGATTGATAAGCTTTTAGTTGGGAGGGTTTTTCACAGATGGAAGAACAGTGTATATTTAATTAGGAGAGGTGGGTTTGGAAAAACCTTGGCTTTCTGCATAAAGCTCCCCTAGAAGCTTAATGAATAAACCACTTTCTATATCATTAAGCCACTAACTAACAGTTGTGTATTGCTGACCGAATAAGCTGAGTCCCATTAAGCATTAAGCTGCTAACAAACAGGCCCTTACTGTCTCTTCCTGAGTAACTAAACACTATTACCTCTTACTGGGTAAGAGACGCTTATTTGATCAGAGATGATGGTCTTTACCGACAATCTTACTGTATCATTTTGCTTATAGTATGCTATTTTGATGACCAAGAATCTTACCCTGTAAGGTAAGTGGGGTGATGATTCTTGGTTCCTTACTCGGTGGGTGCTTCCGGTTTTTGTTGGTAAACGGTCCCTTAGTGAAAACAAAAAAGAAATGAGCTAAAACTTCTAATATCAGGGAGTCCAAGAGTAGATGGTGATGAAGAAGAGGATGAATTTGATGATTTGGATAATGAATTTGATCTTGGAAGCAATCATCGGAGGGACCCACATAGTTATGCTGAGGCAGTGCTTTCTTCCCGCCTCAATTTCGGCCATGGTGCATCCAATGGTTCTGGCTTTGCCACCCCATCAGAGATGGAAGCAGCCGCCCTAGACCCCGAGATCCCTCTTCTTACTTACGGTCAAGAGGTAATAATAATTCTACTTGCTTTTAAGGTTAAAAATGGAAATCTGTCAACTTTTCAGACAATATGATCAACTTGCAATTGAAGGATGATGGAATCTCGGCTGGTAGGCATGCTTTAATCATCCCTCCATTCATGGGTCGTTCAAAGAGAATCCACCCGATGCAGTTCTTCGATACTGCTTCATCAGTTTCTTGTAAGTCTTTGGTTTCTTGATACTTGTGATAGTGGGTCAGGTTCAAGGGAAAACCGCAAAAAATTGAAAAACTGAGGAACACTCTGATAACCGTTCATTTGGATGGTATGCACATGTGCATACATGTAACTTGGAAGCAATTTGTCTGGTATGCACATGTGCATAAAGAAACAACTCCAATTACTTATATGCACATGTGTATACCGTGCGGATGAATGGTCACCAGGTGTTCCTCGGTTTTTCATTTTTTAGGGGTTTTCTCTATGAACCTCCCTCTTGTGACAGTTTTGCGCAATTCTTGGCTTAATCTCGTCCTGGTTTGTTGGTGTTTTGTTTCAGTGCCACCTAGGCCAATGGATCCGAAGAAAGATTTAGCGGTTTATGGGTATGGAACAGTTGCATGGAAGGATAGAATGGAGGAATGGAGAAAAAGACAGACTGATAAACTCGAGATGGTTAAGCACCATGGAAATGGTGGTGGTGGCGGCGGCCATAGTGACGGAGATCTAGATGATGCCGACTTACCAAAGTAGGTGTTTTCTTTCGTACCAAATAGTTGTTCGAATAAATCTGTAATTCATAATTCGTTTCAATTCATTACTCTAAATGTATAATTTTTTTTTTACTTTTGATATATAGGATGGATGAGGGGAGGCAACCACTTTCGAGAAAGTTACCGATACCTTCTAGCAAGATAAATCCTTACCGAATGGTCATTTTAATGCGAATGGCGATTCTTGGTCTCTTCTTTCATTATAGAATCTTGCACCCTGTCAATGATGCGTACGGTTTGTGGCTCACATCGATTATTTGTGAGATATGGTTTGCCGTTTCATGGATCTTGGATCAATTCCCAAAATGGTTCCCGATTGAACGTGAAACATATTTGGACCGATTGTCACTAAGGTATATGCATCCCCTATCGCTTTTTTAACCAAACCAAACAAACCCAATATATTCGACCTGAAGGTAGGATCTTGAAGGGCGGGGCCAGGGCGGGGGGAGATTGTTTCCGATTTGACTTTCAGTCCCGCATGTCTCGAGTGTTTAAAGTTGGTTGCTTTTGTATTCAGGTATGAGAAAGATGGGAAGGCTTCAGAGCTAGCTCCTATCGATGTGTATGTGAGTACGGTGGATCCACTGAAAGAACCACCGCTCATTACTGCAAACACAGTGTTATCCATCCTTGCGGTGGATTATCCTGTGGATAAGGTCGCTTGCTATGTTTCCGACGATGGTGCCGCCATGCTTACGTTTGAAGCACTCTCGGAAACATCCGAGTTTGCACGAAAGTGGGTTCCGTTTTGCAAGAAGTTTAATATAGAGCCACGTGCTCCCGAGTGGTATTTCTCCGAAAAGGTTGATTATCTTAAAGGCAAAGTACATCCCGCATTTGTCCGAGAACGCCGTGCTATGAAGGTTGGTAAAAAGATCTATCTTGTTCTTTCCTTTTTGTTTTGAAAAAGCATTATTCTTCAGGATAGAGGCCATGTCTTCATACATATATTAGGTTCGCTTGGTTTCTATGTTCAACTATTTGAAATGCAGAGGGACTATGAGGACTTTAAGATCCGGATAAACGGGCTTGTGTCCATGGCACAGAAGGTTCCGGAAGAGGGATGGACGATGCAGGATGGTACTCCATGGCCCGGAAACAATGTTAGGGATCATCCCGGGATGATCCAGGTGTGCATGATTCCTATCTTTCGATTTTTATCATTCTATACATGTGCTTCTATGAAATAAATTGAATATATATAGGGTCAAGTTCAGGGGAAAACCGCAAAAATAATAAAAAAAACTAAGGAACACCGTGATAACTATTCATATGGAAGGTATGCACATGTGGATACAATTAATTTGTAAGCAATTTGTCCGGTATGCACATGAAGAAACAACTTTAATTACGTGTATGCATATGTGCATACCGTCCAAATGAATACTATCAGGGTGTTCCTCAGTTTTTCATTTTTTGGAGGTTTTCACCTTGCCTCCCTCTCACTCTCTCTATATATATAGAGAGAGTCAGGTTCAAACTAGAACAGTACCTAAATAATAAGAGAATAAGAAAACGGTTGAATAACATGTGGTTTTACACTAACATCACGTAACAAAATCACATGTGAGGTTGCGGGGCAAAGTCGACCGCACACCATTTTTTGCTTGTTAACGTAAAATCACATGTGATTTTGCACATTATTTGACCGTTTTCGTATTCTCGTATTTAGTTACTGTTATCGTTTGATCCTCCCTCTATATCCACTTTTTCAACAACATTTATTGGATCATCTCAGTCTAACGGTTTGGATGGGTTATTCGGTTCTTTTATCATATCTCGATACAGAGCTTACAAAAAGCGTTATATGAAGAGCTCATAACAACGTAAAAAGGAAAGTTTTAGAATAATTTTAAAAAGTCAAATTACGATCGCGAGAAGCTAAGGGGATTAACGTGGCATCCGAGACAATAACACCTTTCTTTTTCTAAATTGTATTAAACAGGTTTTCCTCGGAACCAACGGCCTCCTAGATGTTGAAGGAAACAAATTACCGCACCTTGTTTACGTTTCTCGAGAGAAAAGGCCCGGATTCGACCACCACAAGAAAGCCGGTGCCATGAATGCTTTAGTACGAACTTATCTCCGTTATCACGGATCGTCATTTCAAATTTATTTTTCTTCGTTGCTTTTAACCTATTTATCTTGTTTCTTTCTTGAAGATCCGAGTGTCGGCAGTTATAACAAACGCACCTTTCATGCTCAATGTAGATTGTGATCATTATATAAACAATAGTAAAGCCCTTCGGGAGTCTATGTGCTTCATGATGGACCCTATATGCGGAAAGAAAATATGTTACGTTCAATTTCCTCAAAGATTTGACGGGATTGATCGTCATGATCGATACTCAAATCGAAACGTTGTCTTCTTCGATGTACGTCATCAATTTAGTGTTTAAGCAAGATGCACTACAACTAAATGGGTCTTTTAGGTTGCATATGCGTCCTAATAGAGTGCTTAATGGGAGTTTATAGGACCAAAAACCGACTTATTGTAATGCCTTTAGAGAGGACACACGGTTTTTGGTTCTATAAATTTAAGGATCGTTTAAATAGTCTATTAGGACGGTCAGTTGTCCTAAAAGACCAATTTTGTTGTTGTGATATCATTCGAAAACGTCGTGTTTCTCTTTTGTGATCGTTCTTAATGTGATAACAGATTAATATGAAAGGATTGGATGGAATCCAAGGACCGATATACGTTGGAACTGGTTGTGTGTTCAGGAGACAAGCGTTGTATGGATACGATGCTCCGATCAAGAAGAAACCCCCCGGAAAAACGTGCAACTGCTTGCCGAAATGGTGTTGCTGTTGTTTTTCGTCAAGTAAAAAGAAGATGAAGAAAATGAGGGAAGCTTCGACTCAAATACATGCACTAGAGAATATCGAAGAAGGAATCGAAGGTACGTGATCCGTCTTGATTCTTTGTTTTCTTTGGAAGGATGTAATATATTTATATACGGCAAATGCTCGCACACTTCTCGTTTCACCTTTGGGAACTTGTATTTGTTGCAGGAATGGATAGTGAAAAGTCGTTGCTCATGCCTCAGATAAAGTTCGAAAAGAAGTTTGGACAATCTCCGGTGTTTATCGCTTCAACGCTTTTGGAAGAAGGCGGCATTCCTCCCGAAGCTAGCTCTGCATCGCTTTTGAAAGAAGCGATTCATGTCATAAGTTGCGGTTATGAAGACAAAACCGAATGGGGAAAAGAGGTTTGTGATTCCCTTCTTTTTGCGCATTTTGCACAAGTTGGGGTCTTCACGGAAACGACATAGCTATCTTTCGGGTAGAGGTCAAGTCCGCAGGGAAATTTGCATAAATAGCCAAAGCTGATAGATGGTTTAACTTTTTAGCCATTTTCTAACCAAAGTTCACTTTTTAGCCAATCCTTACACAGAAGGCTTACACATTGGTTTTCGGCAAAAAAATTAAAATAAATTAAAATCATCACGCAGAAAATTAGTTTCTGCATAAGGATTCCACTTTCCTGCGTAAGGATTCTGAGAAAGCCACTTTCTGCCTAAGGATTCCACTTTTTGTGTTTGCGTAAAGATTGGCTAAAAAGTGAATTTGGATCAGAAAAATGGCTAAAAAGTGAAACCCTATTTGCTGATTTGCTATATACTTTAATTTCCCCAAGTCTACATACGTCCCAACCCGACCCCACCTCCAGGTCACGTGGGACATATTGGGCTTGTTTTGTTTGGTTTTAGGTTTTTGAGAACAAAAACCGAAAGACGAAAACAAGTAGCCAATTTCATATTTTGTTTCCTTTAAACTTTGTACTTAAATGCTACTGAAAAGCAGGTTGGATGGATTTATGGTTCGGTTACAGAAGATATCTTGACGGGGTTCAAGATGCATTGTCACGGGTGGCGGTCGGTGTATTGCATTCCAAAAAGGCCGGCTTTTAAGGGTTCGGCTCCAATTAACCTGTCGGATCGTCTTCACCAAGTTCTTAGGTGGGCTTTGGGGTCGGTTGAGATCTTGTTGAGCCGACATTGTCCAATATGGTATGGTTATGGCTGCGGTTTGAAGCCTTTGGAGCGGTTTTCGTATATAAACTCTGTCGTATATCCATTGACCTCCATCCCGTTGGTTGCTTATTGTACGCTTCCGGCCGTCTGTCTCCTCACAGGGAAATTCATCGTTCCTGAGGTAAGAACGAACTTTGCATCTATAGATACATCATGATAATAAACATTATTGACCTCCATAACTCGAGAATATGGCTCATACGTCATGTTTGCGAGTTTATTTTAGTGAATCTGTATATTCATATATGAATAAACACCCAAATAACTGTATATATTACTGTATTGATGCTTGTGTGCTTATTCATATATGAATAAACGCTGTCAAATAATTTTTATACACTATATTCATGTTTGTGTATATTCATATATGAATACATACTATCAAATTACTCGATACAATATATTCATGTTCTGTGTCTATTCATAAAAACTGTCATAAATAACTTTATACGCTATATTCATGTGTGTGTTCATATTCATATTCATAAATTAATAAACACCATCAAATAACTTTATACACATTCATGTTTGTGGGTTTATTCATATATGAATAGAACATCGTCAAATAACTTCATATCATATTTCATCTTCTTGCAGATAAGCAATTATGCTAGCATTCTCTTCATGCTCATGTTTTTGTCAATTGCGGTAACGAGCGTGTTAGAAATTCAATGGGGTGGTGTCGGTATCGACGACTTTTGGCGGAACGAGCAGTTTTGGGTCATCGGTGGGGTCTCCTCCCATCTTTTCGCTCTCTTCCAAGGTCTCCTAAAAGTCTTGGCCGGAGTCGACACAAACTTCACTGTTACCTCAAAAGGAGGCGACGATGGGGACTTCGTCGAGCTCTATCTCTTCAAATGGACAAGTCTCTTGATCCCACCGTTGACTCTATTAATCTTCAACATCATCGGTGTAGTCGTCGGGATTTCGGACGCGATCAGCAACGGATACGAGTCGTGGGGTCCACTCTTCGGCAAATTGTTCTTCGCAATATGGGTGATTCTTCATCTCTACCCTTTCCTCAAGGGTATGATGGGAAAACAAAGCAATGTTCCCACCATCATCATAGTTTGGTCAATCCTCCTAGCCTCGATCCTCTCGCTGTTGTGGGTCCGGGTCAACCCGTTTGTTAGCAAAGACGGGATCGTGTTGGAGGTTTGCGGGTTGGATTGTGATTAGAAGAACGGGAGGATCGATCGGAATCGGGAGCATGTGGTGTGAAACATCTATGAGTAGTAGTATAGAATGAAAGAAAGAGGACTAGTAAGTGTTTGTAGATAGAAAAAAGGCATGGACTTGAGATAGATTGAGGTTTTGACTTTGAAAAGTCTTGTTTTGACCTTTTGACTTTTGATTGATTCTTTTAGGGTCAAGGAGTTTTGTGAGAGGATGAAGGGATGGATTCCAGAAATTTTACAAGTTTGTAATCCCTAGAGAACATAAATTCTTACTTATTTTCATCCAACGTTACAGGGTAAGTGTTTACCTGGTAAAAGTTATCACAAATATTATTGGACGAGATTCTAGGTCATCAGATTTTAAAATAATAGATTACAAGCGTTCTATCGTCTTGTAAGCGTTAACCTGGTAAAAGTCACTATTCTCGAGGTAAGATTATTGATCGACAAAATGACAAGTAAAATTGTTGGTAAAGACCATCATCTTTGATTGGGTAAGTGTCTTTTATCTGCTAAGATGCAGTAAGTGTTTAGTTCTTGGGTAAGAGACGGTAAGTGTCTAATAAACAACCCTTTAGGGGGGTTTGATTCGCTTGGAATCCATCAAAGACATTTCATTTTGAAGGAATTGGAATAAGATTTAACTACGTATTTGGTTGGTAGGAATTTGAATTGAATCTCATCTTAGTTTGGGGGTAGTTGTGACAATGACAGTAATGGCATGGTGGTTAGTGGTGGGTTGGTGGTGATTTTGACGATGACAGTAGTGGTGTGGTGGTGGGGGTTGGGGTAAGGTGTAGGTGGGCGAGAGGGTGGGTGGTATTGGTTAAATTAGATGCAAAGATTATTTTTGTCTTTTTAAAACTGAATTATAGAATTTGTTACATATGACAAAAGATGAAATTCAATTCGTTCACTTTTGACAAAGAATGATGAAACTTTTAGTCTAAAGAATTTAAAGGATTCCTACATTTTCAATATATAAGCCAAATAAAGGAATTAGAATTTGGTCAAAGAAATTGATTGTTCCAAGTCACTTGAAATCCTTTGAATCCAATGAAATCAAACGACCTCTTAGGGGGCATTTAGTTCGCATAATGGAATTTAGTGAAAATGGAATCTATCAAAGGAATTTCTATTGTTTAGGGATCGCACCTCACCCACCCCACCTCTGCCTCCACCTCCACCCACCTATCACCATACCTCCACCCACCTACCACCATACCACTATTGTCTTCGTTATAGCTACCACCCCATCCACGTCCACCTCCACCGACCACTATGCCACTATTGTCGTCGTCACAACTACCACCCCCACTATTGTACTGTCATGGTGGTCAGTGGGGTTGGGGTTAAAGACGTTGACAGTAGTGGCATGGTGGTTTGTGGAGTGGGAAAATAGGTGGCAGGGTGGTAATTGTCACGACAATAGTTGTGGCATGGTGATCGAGGGGTGGGCGTATGGGGGTGGCGAGGGGTGGGTATGACAACGAAAAAAGTGGTTTGGTGGTCAATGGTGGGTTGGGGTTGGGTTAATGTGGGGTAGGCGGCGGTGGTGACGGCGACAATATGATGGT